GCTAAAACTAAAGGTAATAAAGCATTTAAAAATTTTAATAAAATTAACAAACTTTATATGTTTGGGGTTTAAAATATTACCTAAAAACATATCTTTTTTTAAAAAAACGGTCTAGTAAATTAACCCAAACCCACCCCTTAAAAAGGCCCCAAAAATTACCCACCCGTTTTTTGGGTTTTTATGTAATGTTAGTGTTTTTTCCCTCTGTTTTTAAAAGAAAATTTGAAACCTTTTGAAAGGGGGCGATAGCGACAGGAGAATTGTTTCCCAATTTCCCGTTTGAACAGCAGGGTGAATACTAACATAAATTTTGTGTCAAGCTTTAATTTTGGGCCCCATTTTCATTTTACTTTATTAAAGTCATTTTTTGGGGGTTTTTGAAGACATGGAAAAAAAGAACCCCGACTATGGAACCCGGAAATTTGATATAGATCGACTTTTTTTTACTTCTATGAAAAATTTAAGCACGAATTTTGAAGAAATACAGCGTTTTCATTGGATGACAAATAAAGCTGGACACTAATGTTCTTTAAATTATAGAAAATATGTGAAGACGAATAGGAAAAAGGGTCGATATATATTTTAAAGTACATTTCATCAAGATAAATAGAAATAAATAAGCGCATACGGCTGTATGGACCTTCATAACATATATTCCAAATTACTTGTGAGAAAAACGAACTGGCTACTGTTCTGGCGTTGAAGTTTTTTGTGTGTTTCGCCAATATTAATGAGTACAATAACGCATATTTAGCCTTTCTTTATAGTTTGCTTTTTGGTATAACTAACACATTTGCACATAAGATACTAGTTTTCGGCATTTTATATTTTCACAACTATGTCTGATTTCGCACAATACTGCATTATTTTAACAAATCTGCACAATGGGATATATACGACGATTATATTATTGGTGCATATCGAATCAAAGTCAAAACCGCCTCCGTGGTCCTGGGGATAAAGTTGATGACTTCTAATCCAGTTACCTCTCTGGCGTGGGTTCGATCCCCGGGAGATGCTTTGATAGTTTAGCGCGGAGGAAGGTAGTCTAGTACTGGTGTAACTCTCCAGAAACGATGGTTAGGAAACTACCCGCCTATATGATGAAATACTGTTGGGAAAAGGCGTAAAATGAAACAAACAAACAAACAAACAAACAAGAATCAAAGTCAACTTCTGCATCTTTCTTTCCCAAAATATAACTTTCAGTGAGAGAAAAGTTCATCTTAAGTAAAAGACCTTTTTTCTCATTTTCCCAGTTTTTTATATTATAATTTGTTTTTTTTTAATACCAGTACTCGCCTGTTCCTCGCAAGAATACGACTTGCGCCGCGTGCCCACATGCGTCTTATCAAATGTATGAATAACGGATACACCAAAAGTTCTTCCAAACATGGATGAAATTCTAAGAACATTTAAAATCATCCATCATAAAAAACAACAACAACAACGAAAAAGAAAAAAAATCAACAACAACAACTTACATGACGGTAAAAATACATGTACTACTAATATTCATTCACAGAACCCTGTCTTAAAAAATCGTATATTTTAAATTAGAAATAGTCTGATCATCTATTTACCATGAAATTATTATATAAAGATAAAGTGTTTCATTTTTATGATTAGAAAACTGTTTTATCTTCCTCAATATTTGTATATATTATTAATATGCTATGTATTCATATATCAAAATAATGATCTTACCTTGCCTACTCGACAAGTTCTGTTTTCATTTTCTTTGACTCAACTCAACAAGTACATTACTTGTCCTTATTACATAATGAAACCCCACGAAAAGTACGAGAATATTCAAATAACACCTGATTTGTGAATGAATGAATTACAAGAGCGTAGCGGATGGTATCTTTGCATGGCTATGGAATGCTTTCTTAAACATGATAAAGTACATAAATAATATGTTTCTTTTGAGTATTATTAATAAATACTGAGTTAAAAACTGATGTATGGATAGAAAAACAAAAGAGCATGTAGGTAAGATAGTTACCGCACTCGGAATAGGTCTGCATATTATTTACAGACCCGGTGGCCTTTTAAAAACCTCGATCGCTACGCTCTCTCGGTCTTCAAATCGCCACCCGGGTCTGTAAATACTATGCAGACCTATTCCTCGTACGGTAACTATTACATGTACTTAATAACTGAATTCTGTGTGTATTTAATTACAAATGAACATTGCTTATCATTTTACATTGAATAATTGTGACAGTTGTTGTTATAATAACTTACACAATGTGAATGTATGACCAAGATATCATTTTTTCACCCAACAAAACAGCACAAGCATGAAAACAATCATTTATTCTAAAAATACTTAAAAAATCAATGTTGTAAAATGAACTGACACCATTCTTTACCAACGTCACACAAATAAATAAGTGACCCCTCAATCAAAATAATATTAGCAAACTTGATAAAAAAATGCAACAGACAAAGTTTGGTGATCATCCATCCATTAGTTCTGTAGAAATGGACATTTAAAGGTATTTATATTTTTATCTTAAGCGAACCCTAAAAAGGGCCAATCAAATTCATATGAGCAAACTTGATAAAAGACTACCCAAGAATGCTACAGACAAAGTTTGGTGATCATCCCTCCATTAGTTCCGTAGAAGAAGATGTTAAAGGTTTTTCTATCTTTAGCCCTAGTGACCCCTAAAAGGGGCCAATCAAATTTATCTGAGCAAACTTGATAAAAGACTACCTAAGAATGCTACAGACAAAGTTTGGGTGATCATCCATCAATTAGTTTTGTAGAAGAAGATGTTTAAAGGTTTTTCTATTTTTAGCTCTGCTGACCCCTAAAAGGGGCCAATTGGAATGACATGATCAAATTCAAGTGTGACTGTCACAAGGATGCTACAGACCAGATTTGAAGTAAATCTGCCTTGTAGTTTCAGAGAAGACGACGATTGTTGACGCATGACGACGGACGATGGACGCCGGAGCATCCCCCTTTGATACTAATAGCTCACCCTGAGCCTTCGGCTCTGGTGAGCTAAAATAATAAAGGGAAAATAGTGATAAGGAATGTTGGTAAAAACATATTTATTCAAGCTTGATTGCGAAAAAAGTTTTTGAAACTTATATTAATCACTTTGGAATCCGCTTCCTGGAACCAACCAGTACTGGTGTCATATGAGGAAACATGGTCGTGACCCAATTAGGACTCGAACCCATGATCCCTGAGTTGACACTTTAACCACTAGGCCACCGCTCCCCTTAAGAGGATTGTTAACATGAAGGGACTGGAAATACTTTTCTATAAGACATTGTATGTCATCTAATAGTGGCCTGGGACTCCTAAGTTGTGTTCATTACCGCACTCTGTTTTTTTTTTCCCCTAGAAACATCATTTTTATTTCATGTCAGTGAGCACATCTGAATCACCCTGCACATCTGCATGCTCTGACAAGAGGACATTTCTGTCGGCATTATGATATCATAAATATCACCCTCACTATCTTAATGGACTGTACCAAATAAAAAAGCAGACCACACGTCCAATATCAAGTGGGTAATGTTTAATTTGCAATAAAAGACTCAAATTTACATTACATGTATCTTAATGTTTTAAATTATTGAAATAATCCATTTTTCTTTTGGTTGTGCAAACATCTGGTTCAACTAAACACAATGTAAATTAAATTGATACTCTTGTGAATGTGTGACTTTAAGCAAGTGTAAATAATTTATATACAACTAAAAAACAAACAAACTTCAAATAAAATAAACTAATTTTATACATTATGTGACATTTGCAATCTAATCAAATAAAGAATAAAACATAAATGTATATAAAATACTAAAATTAATACTACTGTATAGCACTTGTATATCTATACAAAAATGAAATTTCAGGAGTGATATAAGTGGGTTTATACTGTATATAATATCAGTATATATAGGAAAAAAATAGACGTTTCTTTTCCACTTTTTCCAATGATATGCAGTCAAAATAATGATAATAAAAGATTTTACAAAAAGATACCAAAATGTAAAAGACATAATATACATGAATTTGGACGGGACTTGACAAAATATCACAAAATGTAACCTGACATAAGTTATTTGGATTGGACTTGACAAAATATCACAAAACCTACCTGAAGATAATATATTTGGATAGGTCTTGACAAAAAAGATAACAAAATGAAACTATACATAAGTTATTTGGACGGGACTTGACAAAAAATATAACATTACATACATATTTGAATAAAAAATAAATTAGAACCAGTCATAAAAAAGCTGGACATAAATTGAGCCGCGTCACAACAAAACCAACATAATGCGTTTGCGACCAGCATGAATCCAGACCAGCCTGCACATCCGCGCAGTCTGATCAGGATCCACGCTGTTGCTTACCAACTCTATTACAAGTAGAGAAACTGATAGCGAACAGCATGGATCCTGACCAGACTGCGCAATGCGCAGGCTGGTCTGGATCCATGCTGGTCGCAAACCCATTATGTTGGTTTTGTCATGACGTGGCTCAATTTACAAAAGTATCACACAACTGATAAAACATAGAATAGATGGACGAAGGTAAAAGGTTATCAATAGAAAATGAAACGCCTTTTTCACCCCCCCCTTTTTGTTGTCTCAAATGGTGAAAAAATGCCTTATTTAGGCCCCCAACATTTGTTTTTGTTTGAGAAATGTTGTTAAAAAAAGTGACCAGTTTTTCGGCGCGGCCCCCCAACCAAAAGATACATCAGGGGGTTGCCAGAAGGGGGATGTGCCCCCTTCTGTTTGTGGGGTTTGAAGGGGGGCGGAGTCCCCCTCATCGCCAAGAAAATTTTGGACTTGTGAGAGGCTATAAATGACCTCAGATTGATCATAAGGTAACGTGTAACCAACGCTGAAAAGCATTTGACTCTATCTCAATCCATTGAGAAGTTGCAGCACTTTGAAATCAATTATGATGGAAAAAATCAACGCAAAATAGTGATTTTTGGCAATTTTGAGATGTCCCCTCGTTGCCATGGTAACAGAAAATTTAAGCCTGAGCATGTTTTTGCAAGGGCAATGGTCCAGTCAACATTTGTGCCAAGTTTGATTAGTGTTGAAGCAGTTTTTATAGTATTATAGCAATTTGAACTTGTAACGGGAGACTTTTCAATGAAAACAGCCATTTTTCACAAAATGCTCATGAAGTAATGGGTTAATGAAAAAAATCAAAAAATCTACAAAACAACAATTTTTCTTCAAATTTATATGACAGGCCATGTTTAAACATGGAAAAACGCGATTTAGGGTAATTTCAAGTATTTTCATCATTTTCTGTTAACCCATTACTTCATATACACGCCTTTTAACGCCTTTTTCACCCCCCCCTTTTTGTTGTCTCAAATGGTGAAAAAATGCCTTATTTAGGCCCCCAACATTTGTTTTTGTTTGAGAATTGTTGTTAAAAAAAGTGACCAGTTTTTCGGCGCGGCCCCCAACCAAAAGATACATCAGGGGGTTGCCAGAAGGGGGATGTGCCCCCTTCTGTTTGGGGGGTTTGAAGGGGGGCGGAGTCCCCCTCATCGCCAAGAAAATTTTGGACTTGTGAGAGGCTATAATTGACCTCAGATTGATCATAAGGTAACGTGTAACCAACGCTGAAAAGCATTTGACTCTATCTCAATCCATTGAGAAGTTGCAGCACTTTGAAATCAATTATGATGGAAAAAATCAACGCAAAATAGTGATTTTTGGCAATTTTGAGATGTCCCCTCGTTGCCATGGTAACAGGAAATTTAAGCCTGAGCATGTTTTTGCAAGGGCAATGGTCCAGTCAACATTTGTGCCAAGTTTGATTAGTGTTGAAGCAGTTTTTATAGTATTATAGCAATTTGAACTTGTAACGGAGACTTTTCAATGAAAACAGCCATTTTTCACAAAATGCTCATGAAGTAATGGGTTAATGTTTACAGTTCATGAAATTGTTTTTGGCTCATGAAAAACAGAAAAATAACACATTAAAAAATAAAACATAGAATTAGTTAAAAAAAACTTTGTGGCAAAAAATCCATCTGGCATGAGGTAAGCAATGAGCAAAATTCGATCTCGAATTGTAATGTATATTTCATGGAATGACCCAACTGGGTTTTTGGAGTCATATTCACAAAATAAAGTTATATACAAAAAGACCTTTTTTAGAAGTCGCACATGTGAATGAGTCTAAATTCCTTATTCCCCATCAAAAAATATTTATTGTCAAATTTTGTGAATAAAAAATATTGCTTTTCTAAATCAAATTTCATTTAAAGTGAATTTGTCCATAATGGAAGGTCTGAAATACCATAATAATTATGTTGATAGTATTAAGTATCATACACAACAAAAACTACTTTGATTTATATACAGATGATCTGATATTACAAACAAAGTATCTACAGAGTAGCAGTTAACAAATTGCTCTGAAACAAAATATTATTTTTCGTCATATAAATGTTCTTCATCACTTAGAATTCTATCAATATAGATTTTTTCAATGAATATTTTATAACAATAACAAAATGACATACATTGTATTCCTATTGTTTTCATCAATATTTTAATTACTAATGGAGAAGTGCCCATTGTATACCAATCCACTTTAATAAAATTTACATAAAAATCAACCAGTAAAACATGGAACTTTCATCTTTCCACCTATATGACAATGGCCAAAGTATTCTATTGATTAGCCTGGGATTCAGGCGTTGATAGTTTTTGCTTATTCATAATATATGCGCTATTTTGTACTTGTTCGTTTTTTTTAATTAGTTATTGATTTGCCTAACAGAAGCATATATAAAATCGACAGACTGGAACCCAGGCTATCTATAAATTACAATTGGTGAAAATAAGTCTTATCATTATCAAAATCATCATAAATAATCTTGCTTATACATTATTTGAAGCCCAAGCAAGCATTTTGTCAGTGAGTACAACTAACAATCTGCCATAAGCTAGCCGAATAACATCCTCGAATTGAAACGCAGCACTATTGGTGGGATTTGAACTTACATATTAGAGATATAAATTCAGTGGTCTTAACCATTCAGACATCGCAGCCAATTATGCCAAAATTGACATGAAAAAATGACTATCCAAAAAGACTTTAACCTTGTTTACATGCAAAAAATGAAAATTCCATCATTTCTATTCAACATTTACAAACTAAGAGCAACAATTATGCAAATATACATATATGTAAACTAACTGACCAGTTTATCTTATAAAACTACTTTATACAATACAAAATTAACAAGTATGGAAAATCATAAAAATAAAAACTAACAAAAAATGTATATAAAAAAAATATACACACAACATAGATAAATGAGACACACATATATCACAGTCATGTTTGTACATATATCTTTACATTATGAGGTAAATTCAGTTATATATACATATTGACCATTTTTATTAACCTGTCAAATGCATAAAAAATTCAAGATCATTTCACACAATAGAATACATAAATGTTTTACAACCTATTTGTAAGATGTACGAACAATAATCAACAAAATAATATTACAAGTGTGTCTTAAATCTATAGAGAGCATTATAACTTAGCCTTACTGGCAACTCAGATCTTGTATTAACTTTTTATTGTAACACAGAGAGCATTATAGCTTAGCCTTACTGGCAACTCAGATCTTGTATGAACTTTTTTTTGTAACACAGAGAGCATTATAACTTAGCCTTACTGGCAACTCAGATCTTGTATGAACTTTTTTTTGTAACACAGAGAGCATTATAACTTAGCCTTACTGGCAACTCAGATCTTGTATGAACTATTTTTTTGTAACACAGAGAGCATTATAACTTAGCCTTACTGGCAACTCAGATCTTGTATGAACTTTTTTTTGTAACACAGAGAGCATTATAACTTAGCCTCACTGGCAACTCAGATCTTGTATGAACTTTTTTGTAACACATAGAGCATTATAACTTAGCCTCACTGGCAACTCAGATCTTGTATGAACTTTTTTGTAACACATAGAGCATTATAACTTAGCCTCACTGGCAACTCAGATCTTGTATGAACTTTTTTTGTAACACATAGAGCATTATAACTTAGCCTCACTGGCAACTCAGATCTTGTATGAACTTTTTTGTAACACAGAGAGCATTATAATTTAGCCTAAATTGGCAAGTCAGATCTTGAATGAACTTTTTTTGTAACACATCTGTTAAAAAGATTAGCCATTCAAACATTCTATTAACTGTATTTCTTATTCTAAGGGGATGATCTAGTTTCACAGAGTCTTTCAAATGTTTCAAAATATTAAACAGCTGTTTAACTCCAACGTTGGACCTCCGCCATAAATGATCTATTCATTACGCTACTGATATCAATATAATTGTGCATGCTAGATTAATTAGTTAAAATATCAAACATTTATCATCCTCCGAAAAAAATGTCATTAATAGACGAATATAACCCAACATTCTAATAGATGCTCAATACAAATATTTCTATTTTAATTTATGCATAACTGACAGGTCAATAAAACTGGACTATATACATACATTGTACATTATATATAAGTTAAATAACACACAAGAATTTATCACAGTGAGTATTTCTTATTAGCTGTCCCTGAATTCTAAAGATTCCATATTCTCTATGTCAAGAATTTCAGTTTTGTTCGAACTCAAAGGTTGGGATTTTTATGCCAGTCATCATAAATAAATGTGATTATATAAAAAAAAAACAGTATTAGTACATCACATTTCTATTATGGCCATAATTATATTGTAAATCTCAACACTAGATCAACAATTTTATAAAATAACAAGAGCTGTCAGTTAGACAGCATGCTCAACTATTCTCAGTGCTTGATAGTATAACATTTAGAGCCTTGATAATGTAGAATTTGCTTAGTTAAAAAAGAGCCATAATTCTGTAAAAATCCATGTTAGAGGTATGGGCTTTGTACAGTGACTCCTTGCTAAGCTCAGCCAATAAGTGTGTGAAGTTTGAACCTATTTCTTTCAGTAATTTTGCAAGCACAAACTTAACTAAAGTGTTACACTGAAGCAATAGCTCTCATTATTATTTGAATACTAGTAGTCAAGCTAAAAATCCCAAGATATCACGTGAAGTGATTTTTAAAATCTAGAAACTATACAAAAATCTTATCAATTCAAAAGATATATTTCATTTTACTCTAATATCATTCATTTCCATATTCAGAATACAAAAAACTACAATGTATGAATTAGATCTACTATATTGAAGGAACAGTAAAGTTTTCCCCAAGTTTAGCAATTCTTATGAATGAATAGTGTGATTTATAGCAAGCACTACTATGGTCAGCTATCATGAGCATTTCATTATAAATACCTTTTGTACCAGTGTGGTCTAAGTAGCGGAATGTTACTGAATAGAATCAAGATAACAATTTGATCAAGATATAAATTTAACATTTCAGTAAAATTGTAAAATTATTATGATTATCACAAGCAAAAATAATGCGGAATGTTACCGTATTTATTCAAGATAACAATTTAATCAAGATGAAAATTTGACAATTTAGTAAAATTGTAGAAAAACATATAATTATCACAATGAGCAAAATTTAAGTAATCTTTCCCAAAAGTCTTGTCCTTCACAAATGGGCTTAGAACATTATTAGAGAGAATGGTACATGTATATCAAGTTATAACACATGCTTTAATGTGGCTGATTGCTGGCATAGGTTGATTATCATAATAAAAAAACTTTAAAAACTTAGCATGATGAACAATGTTGATTATCTTTCAAAAGTTTACTGATGCCAAACACTTGTTTCCTCACTGATGAATATGGACAGATGATATGCTTTGATCGTCTATTTCTCATATCTGGGCAATTGACCTTGACCCCTGTGACCTTGTATCATCAACATGTCGTTTCAGAGTCCCTTGGCCTATTTGATGCACCACCTTTCTTCCTATGATACTCCACATCTTTGGCACCTGAAAAGATAAATAAAACAATGTCATTAGTTACATTGGTATATTACTTGTAACAAAGCTATAAATAGTAACATTATAAGTAACATTTCTAAATATAGATACACTGCTAAAAATAGTATCATTGTTGAAATAGTATCTAGACAGCTATGAATAGTGGCATTGTTAATACAAAAATAGCAAACTGTATATATATATAGGCCTATATGGTATTGTAAAATATATTCTAGATATGAAGCTAAAATTTAATTACATTTAGTTATCAGTGTTCAGCAACCTAATATCCATTGAATGGTCTTAAGTTACAGACTAAATGATTTCAATTATTTAATTCTTATGACATTCATTTAACCCAAAATTTAAAAACAAAATCCAAATAACAACTTTATATAACAACTTTATATAATTATGGCATTATGAAAAACTATAAAAATTCAACTTGCAATTTTAATAACATTATGTCTTCATGTGGAAACTGTTAACACAACGATTGTAAAAAATTGAATTTGTTCATAAGGAGTTGATGATCTTTATTATGCATTAAGTTAACATCTGCAGAAGGAAGAGGACACAGTGAAAGCCCAAGCCCACATGGAGAGGGATTTAATAAGACTGCATGAAGGCTTCTGCAGGAAGATGCGTAAGAAAGGTGCATTTAAAGCGCTATTCTTGCATCAAAGAATATTTCTGTTGGTTTTTCCACATTTCATTATCTCTTCTTCATACAAAGAAACTGGTTTCATCATGGTTTTACATGCAAGTGCATTGTCAAGTGACGTTTATGTTTTGATAATGAAATTACCAGGGCCATCATTGCAGTAAGCTATTTTTACAAGGGAACCATGTAATTGTCATGCATATTTAAAACAGTTACAGTGCATGTTTGAGTGATTTTATCTATTATTGCATGTTATCTTCACTGTTAATATAAACATGTCTGAACAATTTTTATGCAAGAATAAGGATAATTTAAGGTGAACAGTGTTCTTTTTGTTGTTAATATTTCAGGAGTTAGCTTGTTTTACAAGGTAAAAGTATTGAACATTTTAAATGAAATTTGATTTGTTCAAAATTATATGATATCATGAATGGCATTTAAGTGGCATGTATTGCATAACTTGTTATTATAAGATATTAAAACTTTATACAAGAAAATTATACAACTTTGAACAGACATTTATGCAATTACAAAATTGTACTATATTCATCACAAATTAACAATTGCTGCAGGCTTTTTTCCATTTTTATAACAGTGTCTGTTTAAGAGTAGTCTTCCACCAGTAGAATTCTTTTAAATCATTCATTTTTTTCCATTAAAATTCAATTTAAATAAAGTTTTTTCACCCCATTTTGCAAAAATACTGTCCTATTGCTCCCAAATTAAAGGAAAATTTACATTTTACCATTATATAACCCTAAACACTAAAATTTATTAAGAATAAGTACTTAGAAAAGAAAATTAATTATAGAGTTCATAGTGTTAAAATAAGTAAATATATTAGATATGTAAAGACTACATGTAGTTAAGTATCTTAGTAAAAAGTCAATAACTTGTGTTGGATTTTAAAGACAATTTTTATTAACTTGGAGATATATAAATTTCTTTGTTTTCTCACTTATAACACTGAGCAAAGCTAGTGAATTAATCATTGGCATCATGCCCATCCATTCACATACATGTATTTTGTTTAACACCAAACTGATTAGTTATAGAATGATTCTCTAAATATTGATTGAGAAAGTGTATTCACTTTCGCAGCGAACCGTATAAACCTTCTTCATCCCGACATCAACCATGTATTTGATTTATCCTGCTTTCAATCAAGTTTTTAGAATAATTGAATGGTTCCATTCTTACTTTTCCCCAATAAAATAGCATCTCTAGCTATGCAGTTTTGTTTTGCTGCTAAACAGCTGACGTCATCATATGACGTAATGACTGGAGATACAGTTTAGTTAATTAAGTTTATCCGGCAAGGCTTTATCCAGCTGAAGATATAGACAGTAGCAGGATAAAAATATTTAAGTTCAGAACTGCTTTGTATTGAATTACAGAATTTTCCCTTAATACTTGAAATATATCACTGGCCCTCTAACATTATAATAAATATATACAACTATAACTAAAATGTTCAATGATAATACTCTTCCCATATATAGAACATTCCCCTTAATACTGGGCTAGAGAACTTTCGAATAAATATTAAATAATAGTAATTTCCCATAAATATAAAATTATAGAATTTTCCAATAAATATTGAATTATAGTATTTTCCCATAAATATAGAATTATATAATTTTCCAATAAATATTGAATTTTACTATTTTCCCATATTAAAATATAGAATTCTAGAATTTTCCAATAAATATTGAATTATAATATTTTCCCATAAATATAGAATTATAGAATTTTCACATAAATATTCAATAATAGTATTTTCCCATAAATATTGAATTATAGATCCATTACCCTAAACATTGAAAGTTATAGAACTATCCCTAAAACTTTGAATTATAAGAACTATCCTATAAATATTGAATTATAGTAAATTCCCTTCAATATTGACTTATAGAACTATTTCCCATACATGTATCGGCCATTCTCAGTTAGAATTTACACCCCTATCAAAATTTTATAAAAAATACAGATTCGCAAAAACGCAAAACTGTTAGTCTTTTTACAAACTTAAACCATCTGTGAAGTTCTACTGAAATTATTTTCAACATCATATAAGTAGTTTTTGTAAATCGGCGGTTTGAAAAGTGTATCCATTTTACCTTTTTAAAATGCCGGAAATGTTCGTGACAAAGTACCTTTTACTCTAAAAAGGGCTGCTTATAATTACATTGATGATATCTTATTGGAATTTACTTTTAAATATCACATGATACATAAATATTTAATTGTACAATTGATATCACGAATTTCTTGACTAATTAAGCTTATATACTTTTTTTAAAAACTCATATGCAAAAAGTGCAAATCAAGATATACTGCTTAACTGTGATTACGATTTGTCTCATTATTATAAGAGCTACGACCCAGTGTAATAAGTATAGTTCTTGGCATAAATAAAAACCGTAGTATCTCTGCTAGCAATTGTATGCGATGTATATGCTTTATTGTTAGGTAAATGATCACCTTGCTAAAATTTAAGTACTATGTAAAGCTAACGAACCTTTCAACCATAGACGCAAACAAAAAAGAATCCCACTTAATACCCCAAAGCATACATACAGACATCAGACAATGATATTGAGTATAAAACCCATTATCTTTCTTGACTTTATAGTATACTGGTTCACATTATTTTGTAGTAAAATAAAGCATCGAATAGTATTTATGTAAAATGATAGTAACTAAAGACATAGCAATACAGCATATCAGTCTAAAACAATTGAAACAACAACACCTTAATTAAAAGATAAACATGTATCAAGAAGTAGAACAGTTTACCAGATCAAATACATTGCTGGTGCTAAGATTTTAATCATATATTCACTAACTTTTTCAATTCAGATATGGTATATAAAATAACGAACCTTTCATTGTCAAATCAAAATTTTGATGCTAATACAGATACATTTATATTCAGATATAAAGTTCGGATATAGACATTCGAATTACAATTATATTCTTACCTAATGATATCTATTGTAATCTTTCATTTCTCAAAAATGATATTAAATTGGGAATGGCATCTGTAGTAAAACAATTTATAAATGTTTTCTTCAATTTATAACAACTAATTCAATCCAATAAAAACGTGTCAATATGGTAATAATACTAGATTCTACTTTTAAAACAAATAAACATAAGCTTTTTACGAAGAGAAACATTCAGCTAGTATAAAAAAATACTAGCTATATAACGCAAGCATATCAAATTATAGGATCGGAGTCAATTTCTCTAATGATATGTTCGTTATTCACTGAAACTGCTCTTTTGCAACAAACAAAGAATTGACCAATTCAATGTTGTCACCTCCCAAGTATTTAAATGACCTCCGCGAATATCTTGTTTCTCTTGGCTTCATCACCTTTTAGGGTGTGTCCTTGGGTTCAGCCATATCTTTTCTTCGCCTACTGGACATTGCAATATGTCACGCAAATATTAGTTTTCAAAAGGTTAATCACAATTTCACAACATTGAAGAAGCAACGTATATTTTCATGCTTGTAATAATATATTCTTGATAATTTTCCGAATCTTCTTGTTTTATTATTTTACTGAATTACCGCATGTTTTCAGGTTTAGACTTCAGCATAATTGTCTGCACTAAAAGTAATTCCAAAGCTACATTCGTCTAGCTTGAAAAAGACGGTTTTTTACTTGAAAGGTTCGTGGCTCAAGACAACGAACCTTTCATGGAGTTTAATGTTTATTTTATCATGTTTCCCTCATCATAATAATTTATCTTTATAGAATTGTTTTAAATTCACTTCATATTTTGAATTTATAATCACACAAATATAATGTTTATTTGCTTTTTTTATAAAACAAGCTTTTCGGGCGAGTACGAGGTTTAATTTTTACATACATCTTTTTCAGTTGTAACGTCTTGTAAAAATCAGACATTCTTTTGATGTTCTTTTTCTGTATAAACAAGATATACTCACAAGATTTTTCTTAAATAATATTATATACATTACAGGATAAGATATATTATTTTATTCATATAAATTATCATAGGACAGGTTCGTGACTAATGGTCACGAACCTTTCCTTGTTTGTAATCCCTTACGGAATTAACTTATAAGTCACTTATAGGCTATTTTATATGTGAATTATACTTCACTTAGTCAATTTACCTATAAGTCAAGTATATGTATTTTAAATGCAAATTAGATGTAAGTGCAGTATATGTCTGGCATTTTGACATATAAGTGAAGTATAAGTTATATATAAGTCACAAATATGTGACATGTAAGTCAAAGATATGCTCAACTTATAAGTAACATATAAGTGACTTATATGTCTCATATAAGTGACTTATATGTTAC